CACACTCACTCACTCACCCACTCACCTAACGCTGCCTCTCTCTCGTTCTCCACAGACTCGCTCTCAGTTCACTACATCTGCAGCGTGTCCTGCTCGGGTTAGCGCTCAGCTGTCCATCCTGGAAGCCAACGCGGGCTAAGCTAGCTAGCAAACCAGCAACAGCATTCTCCGTAGTTGACTTTAACGAGCTGAATCAAATCCCGAGTTGTCTCGGGGTTAACTACCATGTTTGGTAGTTGAAACAAAGTCCGTCATCACCATGAATTGTCACTGAGGTGGATTAACTCGCCTTTGTTTGGAGGTTTCGTCAGAGAAGCGACTTTAAGCCTCTTGCGGCAGTTCACGTTTCCTTTTTCTCTCGTACGTCAGGCGACCTACGTCAGACTGACGTCACCGCGCAGGACTCACCGCTGATTTGTAAACGAGTCAAACTCACCGGCTATAAAAGGAACTGATTTGAAGATCAGCGCCGAACCTTCCCACATCACTGAAGGACAAACCACGTAAACACACATAATTCAATGCAAACAAGCGGAACACGTTCATGCTGTTGTTCAGTAGCTGGGACACTGATCTCATGTCTTCACTAGTTCGTTTTTCCCCCCGTGAGATTTAACAACATGCTAGAGATTCCATTCTACAATTACAAATAAACACATGGGATATTTTATAGGCTGGTACTTTACAGATACCCAGGGGCTCCAACACCAATATAATTTGATTAATTAATAGACTATCCTCATTGGCTCAGAGAAATCTGGGATTCGTCTCCCACTGATGCTGCAATCTTTGTCAACATGTGACCTTGGCTAGATAGAGAAATTACTCAAATCTGATCAAGTCTTTTTATAAACTCCTTGTTTAACAGTTAAAGTTGGTTGTTCACAGTGTAATAGTGTGAGATAATTTCACCAAGTAAAAAACCATCCTGGGTGTGTGACTGCAAGGTATCTGCCATCACAATTGTGAGATGCTTCTTTTTGAGCTCATAAGTTGGTAGATACATAACAGGGGGATGTATTACAATTTACATTAGGGTACGTAAAATCATAGCTGCCATTCAGACACACATTGAGTGTTTTTCTCGATTTTATTACATGCTAGTTTGGAAACTAGGTACAGTACAAATCACAAAGTCGTCTATTTCAAATTATATTTTTTGGGTGTCGTTTCGCCACACAAAATCACAGAAGCACTTTTAGGGGCACCAGTGTTTTTCATGACAAAAAGCAACCTCTAATAGGTTCAAATGAAGGGTAACTCCAGAGAGGAAGTCAGTGCCTGTTATCGAGAAGTAAAGGATCTCATATGGAAGTTAACCACAGGAGAAGTGAGAAGTGTTTACTCAGTGTGGAAATGAGTGTTTAAAAAAAAAAAACACGCCATAAATAAGTACATGCTAATAATTTCAATTAAATTTTGTTTTGATTTTTCACATTAAGTTTAATTTCAAATTTATTTTCAGTGCATCAGTGGCAACAAATGTTCTTTACAACACAACATAGAAATTTCACATGAATGAAAATAAAACTAAACTGAGGAAAATTCTACAACCACAAATTTTTTATTTTTTTGATTCACATCCAAAAGTCCCAAACTATAACTTGGAATAATTATTCCAAACATGCAGTGCAATATTAAACAGAGTCAATAAAATCTGCTTCAGCAGAAAACTGAATTCGTTTCAAGTACAACCAAAGTATTCCCAGGATTTACAACCAAAAGTTCTCAAACAACTTCAGACACATTTGATCAAGATGTGCAAATCGATTTTCTTTTACGTCTGCATGAATAAATCTGCATTAAAAATGTAATTGTGTCAGTAAGTTCCACGTAGGACTGGGCAACATAAACATAAATGAGGTAAAGCGTTTTGGGTTTTTTCTTTGCTTTGGATTTACTTACAGTAATTGTATTATTTTCTTTTAATAAACATGACAACTAAATCTTGCTCTTGTGTGTTCTTTTATGTTAATGATAATCTCCATATAATGCAATAAGGTACAGAACAATTCAACAATTACTGACATAAAAATGACAATGGATGATGGTATACTGTAAAAACACATGTGTTGACGATAAAAACCCAGTCCTACACAGAAATATTGCATTTAAAGCTCAGAGTAATGTCAAAGGTCAAGTCCATGGCAAGAAGTTACAATGCAGTGCGAGCCCCAGCACCCAGTAAGAGAGGAAGTATCCCAGGATGCTCTGTGTGGTGGGAGAGCAGGATTTAAAATGTGGCAGCAGTGCAATGATGGGGTTCTGAGTTGTATGTTTGCATCCGTTTCTGGAATGTGTCTGTAGATGCACATTTGGGTTGGACGTTTTTCTTCGATGAAGAAGTGGCTCATTGAGGAGGAGCAGATGAGCACTTATCCAGAATGGCACGGGAGACGACGAGGCCATGAACCTGGTCAGAACCTAGACATAGAAAGTAAAAAACTGGAATGAGTGGAAATCAACAGGTTGCTTCTCACATCTGGACGATTTAAATATTCCGCAATTAGGTGATTGTATAATTTACTCACCTGCACGTGCATGCACAATGTTCCGAACACCAGGAGCACAGTCGAATGCACAATATACACAAACACTCTGGGGTTAAACATTCCCGGTGGGGGTTTGTCGAGCCCTTTGGTTCCACCCATCTCCCAAAGTCCAAGTCTCAGACACAGTTCTGGATTAGCAAGAAAATATGCATAAACTGCCATCATGCCGAGGGTAGCCATAGGTAGAGCCAGAATAAAGTTAGGTATCTGCTTGAGCTCAAAGTAACGGAGGAAACCCACGTCCCAATACACGTCCTGGATGTGAGAGTAAAGTAAGGGGAGGGGTCTCATGCACCACAGGGGCGGCGGACCATTTTCGTCTGGAACCCGGTAGCCCTTCCGTTCAGCCAATGAGATAAGGGCTGGAGGGATCCGCTCCAGGGAGGTGGAGGGTGTGCAAAACGTCCTATATCCATAGTACTGGAATGCACAGAAGGGAAGGGCAATAATCGCAGTTCCCAAGAGGGAGGTGAGCAGAAGACGAATGATGACCCAGATGTAGTGGAAGACTTTAACGTGGCCCTTTAACGTAGTACGATATAAACGAATCTGAGAGATGGCGTGCAGTGATGGTAGATACAGTAGAAACCCAATATTGACGAGTCCGTTGGATCGTGCTGCAGTGGCTATACTGAGGGCCAAGCAGGCCCTGAAGGTGAACCCTTTCTCCAGGAGGAAGAGACCGCCAAACGTGAGGGCGGCAAACAGGCTCTCTGAATAACCAGCTGTCATGAAGACATTGGCAGGAGTGATGCAATAGAGAAGGCTGGAGAGCAGGGCGAGGCGTCTGTCCTGCAGGACTATCCTGCTGAGCGCATACAGGGCGACCACGCTCAGCAGGAAGAGGGCACTGTTCCCCAGGGCCACGGCCACCAGCAGACGGCCCCGCACACTCAGCCAGCCGCTCAGGGGCCACAGCAGTGTCTCTGCCAGGCCACGGAGGACGACGGGGAAGAGGGGGAAGAAAGCAAAGTTGTGCTCATAGAGGTATCCTCTCTCTGCGATGAAGAGGTAGTGCTCTGCGTCCCAGTGGGAGAGGCCACCCAGTAACCAGTCCACTGTAGAGTCCAGGTACAGAGGCTCCTCTGTCCGCGGGGGCGTGAACGCATCAGCTTCATGGTCAGGGATGGCTGCGTTCAAGACCGCCTGGGGGAAAACAAAGCACGGTTAGAATAAATCTTGCTCTAATAAACACAGAGTAGCAGGTGTAATGTCACTTGTTTGTCTAGTCATCACACACATGGTGCTGTGTACTAGCTGCCACACATAAATAAAGAATTACAAAGATTCAAACATTGGTGGGGAATCAAGGTTCTGGCGTTAAGGCAGGTTAGCTACATTAGCACATTGTGAGCTTCATAGTTAGCCCACTAGCTTGTCCTGAACTTACCTGTAAGAACAGCGACAGGCCCCTGGTGACCGTGGCGAACTCCAGCACTGCTCTGACATCCATAGTCACTGATGTGACGAACAGACCGTGGAAGAGCCGGTTGTGACGGGCATTGTGGCTGCTACCAGGCGATCACCGCAGGATCCGTCATGTTCTCCATCAAACATGTCCGGGAGGCAGCGCGGCACAACGAGACTCTAAGAGGTTCCACTTTCATTTGTTTGGTTATTTTGACTGGAGGGTAAATGTTTATCTCGCTCGACAGAAACCCGTCAGCAAACAGCTTTTGTTTTCGTCCTGCTGCGATCTTTGTTCCCACTCCTCCTGCCCGCTTTCACTTCCGGTGCAACTGTAAATACAACTACAAAATAAAAGCCCGTGAGTCCATGCGAAGGGAGCACGCGTGTAGTTTCTCCAACTTGCACGATGAACTAACTTATGTATAAAACAATGATTGGTTGAATAAATAAAAACGAATTTTAGTTTGGCTTGATCTCCTTAACTTTTTTATTTCTCCATCTGCTTTGATCATATAGTAACGTTGTGTGGGTGCAGTGTTTTTCATGTCCAGCACGTTGCGCTCTAGGCTCCCTCATGGATTGGTTTTCAATCGATGAAAACACGTTTACTCAACAATTAACACTGTTTTCTGACTGGTTTAAGGTAAATCTACATTTCTAGTAATCTCATGTTACTCATTGTTTAGCTGATTCATCTGATCTAAGATTTGATGTGTTTGGATGAATTGGTTCACAAATAGATAAATATGTCTTATGTGCTGTGCTGCTGCAAGCTTTATTTAATCTAGTCTGTTTTGGAAAGAGATGTCAATGATGTCTGTAGTGCTCTTATTACATTTATAGTTATTTTACTTCAACAGAAACTGTAATAAGGTAAATACAAACTATTATTCCATTTTTACAGATGAGTCCATACACTACCTGAGCACTGAGGTGAAGACTCTTACTTCTGGATGTTTTTCTGATCTGTGATTTCTCATTTTTGTCGATTTGTTTGTCCAGAAGCGATAATTATTCCAGAAGAACAAAACTATCAAACAGCTTACGAAGATTTAATGTACATTTATTCTTACCACGTGGAACATATAGTATAAAGATTTCATACTGAATAAATGATATTCGTTGAGCCAAAAAAGGGAGAGGGAGGAATTTACATGTTGTCTTAGCTACATAGTCTGAAATACAAATATGCAGAATCCATGATCGGAGAAAAGTTGTCAATGTGTACTTCATCTAGTTTATTTCTGTTGTACCAGGAGATAACAGGTTCGAGCCGTGTCTGCTGTACTACAGAGCTGTGGAGAGACCAGAGGAGTGGGTCTAAATTGGCAGGGACTGGAGGTCACGGACCAAACTCACAAGTCAGCCTCCATCCCTCACCAAAACAAGTGTGAGAATAGTGACACAGACAGACACAGAGAAAGGAAGTGTAATGTACAACATTATATATACACCACAGCAAAGCTGTATTTGAAGTTGAAAACCAGTCCTAAGAGGTGATTTCTTTTCATAAGGGTATTCATACAATCAAGGGATAAGAGGAGGTAAGGGTGTTGTAGGTTCTTGATACTTTGGGGAAGAAAGCCATTTTCTGTTTAACACCAAACTAAAATGACCTCAAAACTCTAGAAGAGCTGCATTGTCAGCTTCTGTGTGAAACGTGTGGTACAGAATGCTTACACTCAAGAGCAGTATGGTACAGAAATGTCCTACAATCTACTGCACACTGCACAGGCCTCCCTGGTGAAGGTGTCTACTGACAGCACTTTGTCTGCTGTCGGGCTGACTGGTGAGAATCCAACTACAGCAACTATAACCAGTAGGCCACTTGTCAGTCTGCTTCACCTCTGAACGTCAACCAGTTAGACTCTCTGTGCCCTCGAGGCGAGAGCTAGGGCACACTGTGTCTCCAAAACTCACTGTAAACGAGACAGCAACTTTGGTTACAGTTTTTGTTTTTCAGCTATTTATTTATTCATTATTTATCTTTATTAAAAAGTACTTTCCCCCAAGTGCAGAACAGTCTCCCAACCGCGGTGCTCTGCTCCATGTCATCCAGTTGGCATTCGTGTTGCAAGTAGTGTCCCTTTGTGGGCATCTCTCTGGTTTGTAATCCACCACAGCTCTGTGATTATCCTCCTCGAGCAAGGACGGCCTGGGGAGGGCTCAGAGAATGGAATCTGAAGGATTTTCATAAATTAAAGACAGTCACTTGAACTTTCCTTGCCCTGTTACACACACAAGCCAGGTTACCAGGGAAGAGGGGATTGGGGAGAAACCCCCCAAAACGAGGAGCCACGGCTCCCTACAGCTGTCATGACTGGCCAATCAAAAAGAGTACATCACAGATAACATGAGAAACCAGCGAGTTCATTAGGGGAGACACTGAAAGGTCGAGGAGTCGGGACTCGTGTAGTGTGAACTCTGAGTGGTTCTCCTCCACCTTGGCTAAGGCGTGCAGAGCCCGGGCAGCTCGCCGCATCATGTCCGGGCTTGTGGGTTCGAAGTGCATCCCCTGTAGGTGAAGTAGAGAGCTCTGGCTCTGCTGAAGCTGTGTGGCAGCCAGACTATCCTCCAGGAAACCCAGCAAGGTGCCCACACTACCCTTCTGAACAGCGATTGCTCGGGCCGCCATAGTGTCACCCTGGGCAAGGTTGGCCAGGAGGACCACAGCCATCTCCCTGCAGACTGCAACCTTTCTGTCTCCAATCAGCCGCACGAGGTTTCCGTAGAGCTTCTCTAACCGGCTGAATGGTGGAGTGGCCAAGATGAGGTCCACATTGTTGTCTTGGATGCTTAATTTGCTTAGCGTCTCCAGGACCAGTCTCTGAGGTGACAAAGCACTGTGTGGGCCCAGCGTGGGGAAGGGGTCCTGGGCTTCTGCTGAGGGGCAGACAGCCCAGTGGAGAAGACCATCCAATAGGGGCAAGCAGATGCTTTCGGGGTAAATGGAAAGGTCCAGCTGGCCTGAGATGTTCGCCAAAGTTACCAGCGTGTTCTCCCTCAGGAGCTCCAAACAGTCCCACCACCATTCATCCCTTTGGCCCATTCCCTCTTCTGAATCCTCATCTTTCTCGTATGTGAGCGGGGCCTGTTTGCGTTCAGGGTGCCTGTGGTGGAGCAGGATCAAGCGACCTAGCAGCAGCAAGAGCCCTGGATGTTTGGACATCTCGTGGTCATTGCCTGGCACAAAGGAGAGACTGCGGACAATATTGGAGATGCAAATGCAACGGCGGGCTAAAGAATCCTGCCAAGTAGCCAGTGCAATGAGCGGCCCCTCATCTTTACTGTGAGGCTCATCCTCCAAGATGGAGCCAATCTGCTTCGCCCGCTGGGTTAAAATGATGCTGGAGGAGAGAAAAGGTCCGTTTTCATCCAGGAGACTTGCAGCTTCTTTCTCAACTGTCTTTGTCTCAGACTGTGTTTTCCTCTCCTCCTCACTGCTGGGTGTGGGGCTGGCCTTCTCCGAGACAGCTGCTTTCTCTGAGGAAGATGACTCTTGAGGCCTTTCTTCTTCATCTTGATGCTTCCTCTTCTCCTCCTCATTTGGTAAACAGATTTCCTGCAGTTCTTCTTCTGGAACTCGTCTCTTCAGTAAAACCTGGGGCACAGGCATTCGTACTCGAGGCTCCAAGAAGTCTTTGCGTGGTTCAAAGTGGGTCTGGATGTGTTCTGTTGAGTCCCCCCCTCCAGCACTCCAGTGAAGTAACCCACTGTCAAACTCTTGCATTTTGCCATGATTATTGGACTGGCCGGCAACAAACGGGTCTTTCTTTCGTACCACCTTTACGGGAAACTTGTCAAACTTGCTGGACTGTTTGGGTCTCTCGTGGGCAGGTAAGGATTGGAGTGAGCTTGTCTGTTCAGATGAAGAACCCTTGCTCTTACTCTCCTCATCTTCCGTCTTCTCATCTTTACCCCGAGATTTGCTGCACTGCTTTTGCTCTTCCTCCTCTTTGACGTGAGCTGGCCTGTCCTTTTCTCGCTCCTCCTCTTCTTCGTCTTCGTCTTCTTCGTCGTCTTGTTCCATGTCCTCAGCCTGTGGCTCCTCTTCTTCCATGCTGTCCCAATCTTGTTTCAAGGCATCAGGATCCAGTAGTGTCTTCTGGCCAAGATCTCCAACCTCATACTCCCGCAGAATGCCAAAGATTTCAATTAGGCAGCGTCTGAAATACTCAACGACCAACTCCAGAAGACCAGGCAGCTGAAGAAAGAGCCGAAATATTAAAAAAATATTAAACATGCTCACCATGCATATTGTACTAACATTAAAGACTCAATTTTAAAATCTAAACTCACTGTGTTTAGATCGAAGGTGGAAATACTGCCGTCATCATAAAGGAGAATGTTGATGGTATCTAAGGCCCACGTACTCTCAGCCAATAGACCAGACTTTAATGACATCATGACTCTCCAAGCCTCTGGTGTTCCTGTGGAGACAAGAAAAGAAAACCATTGGTCCTGTTTTAGCTACAACTTGATGAAAAGAGAGTAAGAAAATGTCAACGTCAAAACATGGTTTTGTCATTTGTAATCTACAGTCATACCGATATCTTTCATGGTGAGTCTCCGACGTGGTTTCAGGACAGGGTGCGTAGCTTCTATAGAGCCTGGGGGGAAAGGCATGTCTCGCCTTATTAGAGGCGACTGCACCTGAGGGGGCACTATGTGAGATGCAGGCACTGGGGGTCCAGCCTTCTGCATCTTCATTACTCCGTGCATGTAGGGAGATTTACTAGGTGATGTCCTGCTCTCCATCGGGCGAGGCATGGAGGCCGGGCTGGACACCTGTGGAATGTGGTTCTGCACACCCTGAGGGGGCTGGTAGTTAGACTGTACTGAGCGAGGCATGGGTTGGCCGGGCCCTGCTGGACCATAGGGAGGCTGCCTTGGGCCCATCTGACCACCCCACTGACCGTCATGATTCATGCGCTGTTCTGATGACATCATCTCCTCAGGGCGGGTCATGCCAGGGTAACCTGGCCCCTGGGGTGGGACCCCGGGGCCACCTTGCCGGCTGGGGAAGTTCTGATAGTTCATGTCTCGTGGCCCTTGCCACATGCCTCCCTGAGGACCCTCAGGCCCTGACTGCATCATCTGAGGGGGCATGTTGGGCTGAGCGTTGGGCCCTGTCGGTCCTTGCATTCGTTCACGACCAAAGGGGAAGGGGAACTGATTGCCTGGGCCAGGTGGACGGCGATCAGAGACAGGGTAGGGCCCACTGCCGCTGAACTGATTGTATGACTCCTGCTGTCCTGAAGAGGGTGCAGAGGAGCCTCCTTGCTGCAGCGGTGGTTGTTGTCCACCAGGGAAAGGCCCACTGTACTCAGTCTCATGACGTTTCGATGGAGGGTAACCCCCCTCCACAGGACGCTTGTAACTCTGAATAGAAGGTACACAGACACACAATTATTTCACAACTATTTCAGTAGAACTGTTGTAAAAAGTGTTTCATAAAACATTTTCCTGCTCAGAAAATTACAAATACAAAATGATAGTAGCTTCATCAAAGAGCAACACATTTTTACCCAGTGTGTAATGCATATGATCATTACCTGTTGTTGTGGATACATTCCAGGCTGCTGATTTGGGAAGGAGCCAGTAGGGGGCGTTCCCTGTCCAGCATACTGATTACCATAGGAATCATGCCTGCAAACATTATGTCCAGTCAGTCTCAACAAGTCAGACGCACACATGCATAATGGCATATTATGATTTATAATTTATAAATGTATAATTTATGACCACAAAGACATGCAATGGATGCTTTTTGTTTTCAGCTTCATCCTCAGTTGTACTTAATCTTAGACTTAGTTTTATCGATATGATTAATTTTGTTAAAAATGTGAATGATGAATATAAACACATTAACTGTTTACTGTACTATTTAAAAGTCTATTAATAATACAAGCCCCCAGTTTAAGTACAATTCAATCAATGTAACTCTAGTTCTATAAACACAGTCACATTCAATTCGCTCAAACTATTTGTAAATATTGTGAAATTAAACCATACAATTGGATGACACAGAACACAGAAAAATCCTAAATTTTCCAGCATTTCTGAAAGATTCCAACAGTAGCCGTTATCATACTATCATTTAGTATAATTTTTTTTTTTTTTTTACTTGAAGACAGATCAGTCTGATAGTAGCTTTAAACCTAGGCTACAGCTATACAGTAATAAGTGAACTGACCGTGGCTGCTGTGGTGGGAAGCGATTTGGCGAATACATCCCCGCATCGGCATTGGCAGGCATCATAGGGTTTGGCGGAGGAGCACCCGATACCATGTTGCCCTCTGGGCCCATTCCCTGCTCCGATCTGGGGATAAAATAGGCATGGCATGTTTTTTCCCCATATATGTTTTCACTCAGTCAGACAAATGATGCTACAGATAAAAAAAAAGCGAGATGTTAATGGTTCCAACCACAGCTCCATCATAAATACTTGTTAAAATTTAATCGGCCTAAGCCTGACTGCATGTCACAATGGACAAATGCATCTTTGATGGCTTGTTTTGAACAGTGTATGATGGTAAAATATTGACACGAGTGACTTAGAGAATTTAGCAATTTACTGTGTCAAAAAATAGTCCGATTTGTGACATTTGGAATAACATCACATAAAAGTGTAATTGATAAAAACAATGTCTTTTCAGTGTATCAAATAAGCAAATTAAAGCACAATCACTAT